CAGGGCCCCATTAATCACCTACCAGCAATATGTGAAGGAACAGCTTAGTTAAATTGAGTGACAGTTTGACCATTAAATGATATGTGCAAAGCATTTCCTTATAGTACCTGTCACCAAGTTAGACAAAAAAAAAAGTTAGCTCATATGATTTCCATGTCTAATTAACACAGTCAGTGAATATCTTATTAGCAGTTTTATCTGGCACTGTGATAGTATGTCTCTTAGTTTCTTCTTTGTTACGTCATGCTTTTCCTGTATACACCCACCGGGGTTTTAATAATGGTTCTATTCCTAAAATAAATTATAGTGTGTGTAATTGTTTTTTTGTTTCTGATCAAACTGCCTGTAATTTTTAGTATCTTCCTTTGTTCAGACTATTAAAAGAGAAGCAAGAGATGTTACTATTTGTAGGTACTATGGTATGGAAAGTCCCTTTCCCTTCGTCTGTCTCCAAAACATTCTGTCTCTATAAGAACTTACTCATTTTACTTGGACAACAACTTGTTGACCTTCCCTCAGTTCAGTGAATGCTGCTGCTGCAATTTCTCTCTTAGCTTTGCATTCCTACCCTGTCATTACAGTAGTCCCTGAAAAACAAGCGTGGTGAGTATTTGTTCTTTGTGGCTGCCCAGAAGATGAACTCCGTATCAGGAATTCTCTAGCTCACGATTTTTTGTGGGACACAGTGTCACTACCCACATGCTCCCCTGCCACCCCCAACCCTTGCATTCCACTCAAAGTAGGGAGTTTTCCTGTCTGCAGGTTGGGGGCCAAAAACGAGAGGTGTGAAGTTGAGTGGTTTAGCCGGTGTGGGTGAGGAAGGAGTGCTGAGTCATAACTTGCTGCTCTGAGCCCAGTTGTCCCATTGGCAGTCACGTTCTGAGTTTGGACTTGAGATTGAATCCCTTATATAGGCTGTTGGCAGAGATGAAAAACTTTTCTTTTTTTAATTTTTTTTATTAAAGTTGAGGAATAGAGTTTGTGATCTAGCTGCATGCTTTTGTATCTTCCCAAACTGCGACAGCTGTCTTGAGTTCCTTATTTTGTAGATTTCTGTGCTAGGAGACTTGCTTTGTCTTAACTATCACGAAGACGCTGTAGTGTTTCGTGGTGGCACTCCAGTCATGCCAGCCCCGTGCCACCATAGTCTCTTTTTAGTCAAAAGACTTAAACCTTGCTTACATTTCTTTATGGTCATTTGACACCTTGCCGCCACTATTGGAATCTTTGTTTTTTATGAGGTCAAGACTGTCATCTTTGATAGTCACAACTAATCTAAGAGGGGTTTTCCTCAATATTTATTGAAATCAGCGCTTTACGATGGGCATTGAGGAGGGCACTTGTTGGGATGAGCACTGGGTATCTTAAGTGATGAATCACGAGAATCGACTCCCAAAACCAAGAGCACAGTGTATACACTGTATGTCAGCCAACCTGACAATAAATTATATTAAAAAAGGTAAAAATTAAAAAAGTACTGAAAAAAAAGAAATCAACTGACTTTAATAATTTAGACCAGTTAATGGCATTGGCATATTTAAAACATACACATCTATAGAGTATTCATGATTTACTTATAGTTTCTGACTTGTTTTTCCCCTGATTTTCCTGTTTGTGAAAGCCATGTGTGTCCATTGTAGAAAAATTTTGTTCAGTACAGGGAAGTATTAAAAAACGGTGTAGGGCCCCTACGTTAGTCTACAGATTCATTGTAACCCCTGTCAAAATCCTCACAGCCTTTTTTGCAGAAATCAACAATGGAATTATAAATTCACATGGAAATGCAAAGGACCGAGAACAGCCAAAATAATCTTGAAAAGAACAAAGATGGTAGACTTTCACTCTCGATTTCAAAACTTAATACAAAGCTACTGTAGTCAAGGTGGTGTAGTATTGGCATAAAGCTACTATACATCAATTTGACTGTTGGCCAATCGGTCATTTGACTTTTTTTTTTTTTTTTTTACCACCCCACCTCCTCATGGTCATTTGATTTTTAACAAAGGAGCCAAGACAGTTTAATGGGAAGAACAGTCTTTTCAACAAATGGTTCTGAAACAGCTTGTTATCCATATGAAGACTGAACAAATTTGACTCTCTCATACCAAAATTAACTAAAATGGATCAGACTTAAAAGTAAAATTCTTAGAAGAATACATAGGTGTAAATCTTTATGACCGTGGGTTAGTCATTGGTTCCCTACATAGGGCATCAAAAATACAAGCAACCAAAGAAAAAATAGATTAAGTTGGATTTCATCAAAGGAAAAAAAAAAAAGGTAAATTAGGCCTCATCATAATTAAAAACACTTGTACTTCAAATAACATTATCAAGACAGTGGAAAAAACAACCCACAGAGTGGGAGGAAATATTTGGAAATCGTATCTAATAAAGGTCTAGTATCAAGAATATATGAAGAACTCTTACAACTCAAAAAGACAAACAATCTGTTTTAAAAATAAGCAAAGGAATTGAATAGATATTTCTCCAGAGAAGATACACAGGTGGCCAGTAAACATGAAAAGATGCCCAACATCTTGAGTCACAAGGGAAATGCAAGTAAAAGCCACAGTGCTACACCCACTAGGATGACTGTCATGGAAAAGGTGGGCGGTAAAAAGTCTTGGTGAGGGTGTAGAGCAATTGGAGCCTCACGCGTTGCTGGTGGGGATAGAAAGTGGCGTAGCTGAGTTTTGGAAGACAATTTAGCAGTTTCACAGACGGTTAAGCATGAAGTTACCGTATGACCCGGTAGTTGTCGTCCTAGTTGAACTCTTAGGTGTCTAAGAAAAATGAACACATGTCTCTTCAAAAACTTGTACACAAAATGGTCTTTGCACCCAAAGCAGGAACGCTTTTTTATACCAGCCCCGAAGTAGAAGCTGCCCACATGTCCATTACTGTTGAGTGGTCAAACCTAGTGTGATGTGTCTGTGCTCTGGAATATCATTTGGTGACGGAAAGGGATGGATTGGTGGTGCCTGTCACAGCATCGATGATGAACCTTGAAAGTATATGAGGACTGGAGGAAGCCAGACAGAAGACCAACATTGTGATTCCATTTATACGAAATACTCAGAATAGACAAATCCGTAGAGACAGGAAGAGGAGATGAGTGGATGCGGTGGGCTGGAGGGAGGAGGAAATGGGGAGCGACTGCTGATGGAAACGGGGTTTCTTTGAGGTTGATGAAAATGATCATTCACAACCTTGCGAATACTACAAACCACTGCATTGTATACTTTAGAAGGGGGAATTTTATGCTATGTGAGACATATCTCAATAAAAAACCAAAGATAATTAACAAAATAGGAGGCACCTGAGATCCCACTGCCCAGGGACCACACAGCTTAGGTGCATTGAGCATTTTACGAAAATGCTGATTCAGTGCCGGACACCTGCGCCCTGTCTGTGCCCTCTCGTGTGGTTCTTACAGCAGCTTTGTGAGTCTTCTGTCAGAACTGGGACTCCTCACTCCTCCAGAGTTCCTCCTGCTAACTTGCCCTGCCTGTGTGTACAAAGAATTTTGGGTAAAGATAAGAGCGTGCTAATATGGAATTTTATTAAAATATTGTTTTACAGAGTTCGATGCTTAACCCACCGTTGACCAAAAATATTTGTGGTTAGCATTCAGCAGCTAAGGAAAGCAAATACTTGAGAAACAGGGTTAAATCGCTCAAGTACGAAGAAGCTTATGTTCTTTTTTCTTTTATTTTCCTTCAGAGATTGCAAGAAAGAAACAAGTAGAATTAGAAACTTCCCTAAGTGGCCATTGATCCTGGTCTGGTGTAATGCTCGGGGTAGAACAGGGGCTTGGATTTTGTTTTCATAAAACACGTCAGGACATGCTGTGGTCGACTGCTTTTCTACTAGAGAGTGTAAAGTGGAAGGTATAGGGAAACACACTTGCATGGAATGCTTGTTACAGTGGTTACTTTTGTTTGTTTTAATACCCTGTTAACATTTCAGAGCAAGCAGTCATGGGCTCACAGGTTTTATCCTGTGCACTCATTTATTGATCGATCCTTATTTGTGGGCATCTAAAATGCAGTGAACTTCAGTCTTCTTGCAAAACAAAACTTGGTTAGTAATTTTTTTTTTATTTTTAAGGACAGTTGTCCAGACTTTTTAATGAGTTTGACGTGAAAATACCATGTTTTTAAAAATCTTGAGCCTTGATGCTGGTGCTCCAGCTTTATTCTTTTGCCGTGTAATTAAAGAAAAAGTATTACTTTTCTTTGAAAGTCTATTATTTCTGGAAACTTATGAATAGCTTGAGTCTGACAGAAGTTCTTTTCTTTTTTTTTTTTTTTAAGTTCATTTATTTTGAGAGAGAGAGAGAGAGAACAAGAGAGTGAGCAGGGGAGGGGCGGAGAGAGAGAATCCCAAGCAGACCCCGCACTGTTGGTATAGCGCCCAACGCGGGGCTGGAACTCACGAACCGTGAGATCGTGTCCTGAGCCGGAATCCAGAGTTAGACACTTAGCTGGTGGTGCTCCCCTGGTGTCCCCGACAGAAGTTCTTACTGAAGTGCAGGTGACCTCTGCCATGGCATGGCCTTCACATTGCAGTTGAAGGAGACTTGGTTTTAGTAAATATTAGCACTGAGATATGAATGTCCAAAGAAATGCAGAGTATATTCTTTTTTCCCCAGAAAAGTGCTCTCAGAAATTTGACTTCAATATAATGAACACTTTGACATAGATATCATAATCTCATCGTAATTTTAATGTAGATGGACCAAGCTTGGATGCTAAATTCCATGAAGGCAGAAACTTTTTACCATCACTGTATAATGTAAGAGTTTATTCTTAACTCCTTGTCCATAGTAAATGCTTAATAAATGCTTGTTACATAAATATACATGTGTAATTGCATATATATTGGTATTATACATACTGTTTGGTAAAATATCTCCATGCATATACAGTTAACTAGAATGTTCTCAATTAATAAAATTGTGTGTAATAGTTTTTCATAATGTTTTTGTCTCCTTTTAGGTTGGTATTTTGTATGGCATCTTTTTCTGTCGAAATTCAAGTTTCTGCGGGAACTGGTGGGAGACACAGGATCTCAGGAGGGAGATCATGAGCCGTCAGGTTCTGAAACAGAAGAAGACACTTCGTCATCCTCACAAAGGATCAGATCTGCTCGCCAAAGGAGGGCACCTGCTGATGAAGGCCACTGACGCCAGCCATCGCCCTGTACTAGTGAATGATGAAAGGCAGTGGGGAGCCTCTGTCTTTAATGACTTGGCTTTGTGTTTTTTTTACTTGGATTTTAAGTCCAATTGAAAAAAAAAAAGATTTATCTGTAAGCCATATGAACATAAAGGGAATTAAAAACAAATCAGATTATTGCAAATTCCATCTTAAAGAATAATCTTTTGCTTCACTAGCTTTCCACTTAGTACTTACTCTTTGCCTCCTGGGCTTATTTCCTTGCACTGGTGTGAATCTGATAAACATTACAGGCTTGAATAACCATATTTTATTAGTTCTATAATGTATGTTGTTGTTTCTTGTTTGTTTTTTTGGTTTTTGTTATCACATTTTAACCTTGTCTCAAATTGGGAGGTATCTCATGATTCCCGTCAGCCGGGAGATGGTCATCATGTGATTATCCCTGCCTGTGCTGTGCGTGTGTGACCCTGACAGCTCGTCATAGATAGCCTCATCACCGTAGTGTTGGTATCAAATGTGTCAGGTTTAATTAGCATCTAAAAATGTCTTCAAAAAGATTGCACTATCATTCAGCGTTGAAACGAAAAGTTATCGTGTACACGGAAAAGCACGGGAACAGAACGGCCGGACGCACGTTTGGTATTAGCGAAGCCAACATCCGTCGCTGGAGGAATGACCGGACGTCCATATTTGCATGTAAAGCAACAACAAAATGCTTCACGGGACCTAACAGGAAGATACCCGCACGTGGATGAAGCCGTACTACGATTTGTTAGTGACATGCGTGTGAAAGGATTGCCTATCACATGCCAGGCGATGCAACTGAAGGCGGGAGAAATTGCCAAAACCCTGGGAATCGATGAAACAGAGTTCAAGGCGACGAGAGCCTGGTGTGATCGGTTCATGCGTCGAGCAGGACTGTCTTTGAGGTGCCAGACCTCGTTTTGCTCAGAGCTGTCCGCTGACGTGAAATAGACGGACACGGCGAAACACGCTTTCCGGAAGCGCCGTGTCCCCAGCGCCCTGGATGCCACCAAGGGTGCCACTCTGTGGAGGAAAGCAGGCCTCCGTGGCTGTGCTTGGAGCAGTGACTCAGAAGAGTTGGGCTCAGACTATGAAGTTATCGTTATAATTTAACCAGTTATCTCACACGCTTTCTTCAGGTATGGGCCAGACTGATGTGATTAAAAAACCCTTTTAACTCTAAAACGATGTTTCAGTAAATCCCCGCATTCTGCACGCTGTGGAAAGCACTGTGTCGGCTTCATTGCCTGCATTGTTTTGTTAGTGGTACACGTGGTGCACGTTACAGTTGCTGGTATCTTAGAGTAAAAATAGCTTGTAAACTTATTCTTCCTTGTAGGATAGCGATTATGTGTTAGGGAACTTAATCCTGACTCTTAGGTGATTAAAATAGTTATCCTCTAGGAGATAGAGGGTTTTGGTTTTTTTCTGCAACCTATTCAAGATTTGAGAGCAGTAATTTAGGAATCTAAGAACTGTCTTCTACTTCAGGAAGAATAGGATTGGTTTCTCCCTTTTGTACGGGAGGACTTCATGCTCAAGGCATGTGTTGTGGAGAATGTGCTTCTTCACAAACAATTCAGCAACGAGACCTCAGAGGTCCTGGGTATTGAGGATAAAATAGAGTGGTGACCATGCTCGCCTCACTGGGAAACAACCTGCCGGGTGCCCGTGTTTGTCCTCACTGGACTTTGGCCCGAGTGTTCACCAGAGAAGAGAGAGAGGGATTACAGACCCTTCCCCTTCAGCGTTACCCACTCTTTGCAAGAATGAACTGCAAAGCCAGTTTCTTTTATTCATCCAAGTTCTTGTTAATGTTTTTATCCTTTTCTTTCCCTCCAGAACTAGTCATCGCAGAATGTCCCCATTCTTACGACGGTGTGTAACTACGAGTGATACCTCATATTTCACGCTCATGGTCTGCTTGGTAACTGTCCACTTGCTGTGCCCCACACTCGTATCCTTGAGGTTTGCCTCGCCGTCATCGGGGCCCTTTGGATAAACTGAAAGAAAGGGAATTTACAGACCATAGGTTTAGTTTTAAATATTTGCTAGGGGAAGATCCCCAGCAGCCGAGAGAGGCACAGAATCTTTGTCATTTCCTTTTTGGATGCCGTCTTCTATTCATGACTGTAGGGATTCATAAGCCAGTGACCCAAGTTGCAAGCATTAATTTTAGTGCTTCGTACTAGCTGCATTACCACATTAAAACAGTCATCAGCTAGAATTCATGCCTGAAAGCTTCTTGGTACTGGGAGGATATTTAAATTAGATCTTTCATAACCTAATATTTTGAGCTGTGGATTCTGCTTTCTAGTAGTGTGTCTTAGGTTTAAGTAATAATAATAGTTGCTGACAAACATTAAGTAGCCGACGAGCTTCTATGCTGTTTCAGTATTAAAGAACGATGGCTGGTGTAACTTCATAAAATCTGCAAGGGTCATCCACAAATTACTACAGATGAGCCCATGTGAAGGTGTACATGTTGGTATTATTTCCATTTATGCTTCAGGGATATCTTTTTTAGTAGGATTTAAGGAAATGGTCTGTTTAACTTACTTAGGAAGTCTATCCGAAAGCATATGAAGTAGCTTACACCCTACCATGTTTTAACTCTTCAGAGAGTAAAAGGAAATCACTGAGGCCAATATGAACATTCTGCAAACTAATTCTTTTGTTTAAAGCTTTTTTTTTCTTTCATTCCTCCCCCCGCCCCCCACCATAGTATGCATTTCTAAGGCCGCCACTAAGAAAGGCAAGGGGAATATTAACACACAATTATTTGTGTGGGGTAGCATTTCTGTTCCTATTCCTATTTTAGTGCTTTTGTAGCTGCACTTGACCAGAACTTCACACGTGCATTTTCAGTTTCTCACAGGGAGACTGACTACTGTGGTTAATTTTGAAGCTTAGAAGGTTGTGAGCCTTCAGAGTACATTCAGGATCAGTCTTGTTTGAATACTCAGAGACATAGATGGTGACCAACCATTCTGTCTTTTGAGGATTAATTCTAGAATTGAGGACTCTGATAGGTTGTTTCATTTCCTTCCCAATCAACCATTCCCACGTCTCTGTTGCCTCCGAAACTTTTGTGAAAATTGCCTGTATCAAGCGTACTGGTTTGCATTGCTCTGATTTAAATGCCAAAAAACACTAAATATTTGTGTGGCGCACTGTTCAGTGAGGCTTTTAATATTTACATCAAGCTAAAAATAGAATTCATCCAATGGATTTTGTAGTATTGTTTTCATGGTGGAAACATTAAATATGTTGTTTTTTGGTGAATAGCTAATTCACATATGTGCTGACCCATGTCTTCAGATGATGCTAGGTTTAAAAACAAGTTCAACTGTTATTTTGCTGAAAGGTGGGAATATATTTTGCTGAAAGATGGGTGAACCATAGTAATGGTTTGACAGAATGTTACTTTAAACCAAAACGTGTTGAAAGATTTGAAAGTAGTGTTCTTTTGCTTTTAGGAGCAACCTATTTTGAAATTATTTATAAGTCAACAATGCAGTATTTTTTAAAGTCCGTTTTTCTTAAGTTTATGTTTTAATGTAATGTAACCAGTGTAACGTTAGATTTTTGACTGGTAAACTTCAGGTGCTTTTACTTTGAAGTTGACTTTTAAAAGCTAATGAGCAGTACTCAAAGGGTATCGACTTTGGAGCATCTAATGGAATACTATTTCATTATGGAGTCTAGAATTAAAGCACCAAGTATTGTCTGCTTTTAAAGTATCCTCTAGCTTTTAACTGAAAGCATAAAGAGTAGCATTTTATCTTATATTAATAAAAGTTCCCATTTCTTAATATACATGGGCTGCCTGCCTTAGGACCTGTGTTTAACAGTACCCTCCAAGTCAGTTCTGGGCATAACCATTCACCAAATATGGCTGCTGTTGTTTCTTAAAGGAAACATCCTGTGTGCTATGATGTATTGCCATCCTGCTGCTTGACAAATAGATTTATATATAAGGAATTAGAAGTGTGTGCATTAATAGTACCACTGTATAACGAGATGTAAAATTAGAGTCATGGAATGTATGTAAATGATCACTCACTGTTTTTGTTTCAAAACTGGTCAATTCTGTACCTAAAGCTTCTGTGGTTTGTTTGATGTTCTAACTTTCACTTTAAACTGCACAGAATAAATTAAAATGGAAACAAAAGTTTGGTACATGTCATTGGTAAAGTATAATAAGTAGGAAGGGCACCTGGGGCATGAAGGGAGTTGAAAGCAGTCATTTTTCCAGTGGTCCACCCTTCACCACCTTTTTCACACTCTAAGCAAGAATTAAGGTAACAGTAGTAGTATTCCTGGTGCTGTGAAAGTAGTGGAACCCAAAGGACATAGATTTGAGCTAAATTGCTTTGCCCATTAGAGCCTTTGGTTCTCTTCTCATATTTTATCCACACCCTCAAGATTGTTTTGATATTCTGTTTACCATAGGTCATGTCTCATATTTTTGTTAGTATTAACCCACCTGGAAGACTGAGTGAGGACACTGACCAAAGCCAAGTAAAAAAGATTGAGGAGGGCCTTTGAAAACCAGTTTGAGATGGGAAATCATTAATTGTAGTGGCTAGGAGCTAGGTTTTTAATTTTTCCTCAGTGGTGCTTAGCTGCCAGGAATGAAGAGTGGGAAAAAGTGGATTGTGCCAGGGTCAGGCTTTGTAAGGGAGGAGTGAAGGGCAGGGCCATTAGAGATTACTGTGGATTGGCTATGGGATTTGGGCTGGGTTGTAAGAGAAGTCTGATCCGTAAGACCCCGATAAATTGGGTGAATGGGCAGGGGTAGAAACTGAAGATAAAATGAGTGTGACATTTGTGTATAATGAATAGAAGGGAGTTTGGGGCAGAGATCAGCATTTTAGAGGTGAAGCAGTTCTGAGCAGTGTCAATACAGCCATAGGAAGGGAATCAGAAGTGGGACTCATTCTAGGCTGTTCTGTGGACTGTCACCATGGTCGCTGATACGTGCTGGCTAGAGTTGGGATCGAGAAGAGGACCATGTGCTGGGGATCAGTTCAGAGACTTGGAAGACTGGTCTCCAGGTCTGGGATGTTAGATGGCATGTAAAAGGAGGAAGGAGTTTCCTAAAAATGAAAGGAATGTTTCTGGAGCACTCTCAGAGTGCTTTCTCTTCATTCTACCCCCACCCCACCTCCGTGGGCAGCTCTACAGGCCAGTATGTGATCGTTACCTGCAAGTGCAAGTGAGTACTTCAGTTATAAAAATGATGCTGTTTATGGAGAATGTGGGGGCGGGGGGGAAGGAGAATGGAGGAAAGGACAGCAAAAGCTTCTCTAAAGATCCTGGAGGAGTAGAAGTTTTCCGGGTAGAGGAATTCCAAACAGAAGAAAGCATGTGCGAAGTCAGAGCTAGGGAAAGCTGCTCTGTTTGGAGAACTAGATGGTTATTCCTGGAATAGAGAGTGGTTAATAGGGCACCGTGGTTTCTAACTGGAGAAGCGGGGAAGGTCTAAGTCACAAAAGCCCTTGTATGCAATGACAGAGGCTTTGAAGTGTGTGCATTTGTGATGGAAAACATTGAAATACTTGGAATTGAGTGAGAGCATTGATTCGCTGGTTTACCTTATATTGAATGGCTACTCTTGTAGATGCTTGGACTAAGTAGAGATGACTTGAAGCTTATGCTAACTGTCAAGGCAGGCTGCTTTGGAGGCTCGGTGGAAACAGTAAATCTTACTGTAGTCCAAGTAAGAAAATAGGAAGCTAGTGGAAAGGAGTGACCACCATGGGAAACCTGAGACTATGAAGCATCAACAGGACTTGACATTGGATTGTGAAGACATGTGAAGGATAAAGATAAGTAAAGGATGGTTTCAGCGTTTGAGTTGGTTTGAGATTGGGGACATTGCAAGATGTATATGGAAGAAGTAGGTCTGTGGTCGGCCTCAGAGAGATGGAAGATAGAGTCCGGTTTTGGGTATCCATATTTTTTAGGTGGATGTGCTTATGGGCCATTCGGTGGACAGCAATACTGTACAGTTATAAAAGTGGTCTGAGGGGCGTGGTTGAAAACACGAGCTGTGATCATCAGTATGTGACTGCGGTGAAAGCGATAGGCAAAAATAGGGCCTACTTGGGGAGGAGGCTAGCAGAATAAGAGACAAAGGAGTGGCCCTGAAAGAGCACCAATATTTAAGAGTCTGGCAAAAGAAAAAGAGACCATTTGGAGGCAAGCCAAAGAAAGAACTGGAAAGAAGAGCAAGCATTCAACTGATACATATATGTAGAATGATATTGCTCAGATCTGCCTATTAAGAAATTGTGGCAACAGGAGACTGTTGCAGTAATCCAGGCAAAAGAAGATGTGAATCTGTGCAAGGCTGCTGGTCGTGGAGACAGATGAGCAAATCCCCATGGGAATTGATTTGACAGTGGTTGGTACGTGAGTAGATATGGGAGGTGTAGGGTAAGGATGAGCAGATGAGCCCATGGTGGTGGCTGATGGAGGATGTGGGTGGAGCATGCTTGAGGGGACAGTTTGGGGAAGAGTCCAGGTACATGTAAGACCAGTGGAAATGGCCATCAGGAACTTAGGATACAGGCAGGAGAACTGAATTCCTACCCAAATGCTTTTATCTTCTTAGTTGGTAGTTTATTTAACCTGTTTCCTGATCTGCTAAATAGGAATGATAACATCTAGGATTACTGTAAGGAGTATATTTTTAAAAAATCCTACTTAAGCATATTCCTTAATGTATAGTAGGCAACCCATAACCTCACTCTCCTTCCTTCTCATTCACCTCTGTAAGCATAGAAACCTTCTTAATGCTAGCTTGGTCTAAGAGTTGGTCAGGCCATTGAAAAAGTCGAAATGGGGAATCATAAAAACATACATTCATCCTCCAATATTTAAGGTAAGACCAAAGCTTCCCCCCCCCCCCCACTGAGTATAGATCCATTAGAATTTCATTCTCATTTTCTTTCTTTTTTTAATGTTTATTCTTAGAGAGAGAGAGACAGCCACCCAAGCCCCACACTTCCCATCTCATTTTCTTTGTAAAAACTTATACTTAACAATTCTAGGACTTCTGGTTTTGTTCTCTTAAAACGAACAAGAACAGAACCTAGCAGAGCAAAGATTTTTACTCCAATTTCCTATCTTTTGAGGTTGCCTCTCTTGCTCTAGATGGACAGGATTTTTACCATCTTGGCTTTATCAAATTTTCACAAAACATTCAACTAAGTTTACATTGAAATAGCAATCCTTGTTTTACACTTCTATTTCGTCGTAGCATTAAATTATAGCATTATAAGATCAGAGACAATGGAAATAAACGTTTGGGAAATAAACCATTAAATAAATGGTTTGGGAACCATTTTGGTTGAACAATTGGTGAGAACAGAAATAAGTGAGCATATAAGATTACGTCCTTGATTATGCACTCCACCTCGGCAGGTACTGTGCATCTTTTTTTCACAGAGCAAACTGAAGCCTCAGCCTGGAATCTATTCACCCTTCTATAGAGTTTTCATACCTGTTTATTCCCCCCCTCCCCTTCCACCCTGGTGCACTGGAGGACAGACCCCTCTACTTCCCTGGAATAATCCCTCCTCCTGTGCTTTGGGTTCGTGTTCTCCCCTTTTTAGCAAATTGACGCTGTAAGTTACATTTGACCCTTGAGCAATGTGGGAGTATCCCCCCCTTCGTGCAGTCAAAAATCTGCTTATAACTTTTGACTACCCCAAAACTTAATAGCTGACTATTGATGGGGAGCCCTGCCAATAATAGCTGATTAACATAAATTTTATTACTATGTCATATGTATTATATACTGTATTCTTATGATAAAGTAAGCTTAGGAAAAGATTGTTGAAAAGGATTGTTAAAATCCTAAGGAAGGACCCCTGGGTGGCTCAGTCGGTTGAGCGCCCGACTTCAGCTCAAGCCATGATCTCATGGTTCATGAATTCGAGCCCCACATCAGGATCACTGCTGTAAGCACAGAGCCCGCTTAGGATCCTCTGTTCCCTTCCCACCTCTGCCCCTCCCTGGCTTGCACTCTCTCTCTCAAAAAAATAAAACATTAAAGAAAATAAAAGACAATACATTTACAGTGTAGTGTACGTATTGAAAAAATTCCACGTGTAAGTTGACCCACGGAGTTCAAATCCGTGTTGTTCAAGGGCAAACTATTTCTTCTGTATATTCAGTCACTTTGTCAGCTGGATCATTCTCTTCAGCATTTAAACATACTCACTAAGCATATTGTATCTCAGGAGAAGGAAGGCCTATTCTTTCTCCCCTCCGCAGTCAGCCACTCTTCCCTCTCTGCGGCAGACTTCTCTGAGTAGTTACCTCTAGGACCCCTGACACAAAATCTGAAGGGCATTTTCCAGTCCTCAGCTTTGCCTGACCTCCCAACGGCATTTGTTGTGATTGCTCATCCCTTCCTCGAAACATTCTTCTGGCTTCCACGATACTAAATTCTCCTGGCTTTGAAGCTGTTAATACCGGTAGCCTGTCTGCCCCCACCCCTTCATCTCGTTTGCAATTATCCTGCAATTAAATGTCTGAGTTCCCTGGGGCTAGGTTGTAGCCCCTCTTCCCTTACCCTGCGCTATTTCCTTACTTGTGACTTCAGTGATTATCTCTTCCACCAGTGGGACCACATTCCAGTCTCTTGAGCCAACTGCCTTCTCCTCTTGATGGTCTTAAACAAACCTCCACACCTGCAAGGTCCAAGCTGCAGTCCCTTCTGAGCCTGGTGTGACTCCAGTGTCCCTCTACAGTTGCCAAAATCGACAGCCTAGGTATCCTGGAGCTCTCTTTCAGGTCCCCTGTTCAGCACATGGTGTCTTGTTGGTTTTACCTAAATAGTCCTGACACCATCTGTTTCTCTCCATTCCCCTTTTACCATCTGTAGACATCATAGTGTGGTGATCATCCGGATGGCTTCTGGAATTAGACTTCCCTGCGCCCTATTTTTCATCTGTAAAATGGGTGTAGTAATAGTACCTATCTCATAAGGTCTTTGATAGGGTTAATTGAGCGAATCCACACAAAGCATTTAGAACAGTGCCCAGTGTATGCTGCGTATTCCCTACCATTGTAATATTCACATGGGTCCCCGCTTCGTGGTCGTCTTACATCCATTACTGCATCTTGCAAGTCTGTCCCCCTTGTCACCAGACTGAT